CAGCATGGATTCACAAAGGGCAAGTTGTGCCTGACCAATCTGATTAGCTTCTATGATGAGGTAACTGGCTCAGTGGACATAAGGAAGTCAGTGGATGTGATATACCTTGACTTTAGCAAGGCTTTTGATACGGTCTCCCACAATATTCTTGCGAGCAAGTTAAGGAAATGTGGATTGGATAAATGGACGGTAAGATGGATAGAAAGATGGCTAGAAGGCCAGGCCCAGCGGGTAGTGATCAACAGCACGATGTCAGGATGGCGATCGGTTTCTAGCTGAGCGCCCCAAGGTTCGGTTCTAGGACCGGTTTTGTTCTATATCTTTATTAATGTCCTGGATGAGGGGATGGATTGCACCCTCAGCAAGTTTGCGGATGACACTAAGCTAGGGGGAGAGGTAGATACGCTTGAGGGCAGAGATAGGGTCCGGAGTGACTTAGACAAATTGGAGGATTGGGCCACAAGAAATCTGATGAGGTTCAACAAGGACAAGTGCAGAGTCCTGTACTTGGGACGGAAGAATCCCAAGCATAGTTACAAGCTGGGGACCAACCAGTTAAGTATTAGTTCTGCAGAAAAGGACCTGGGGGTTACAGTGGATGAGAAGCTGGATATGAGTCAACAGTGTGCCCTTGTAGCCTAGAAGGCTAATTGCATAGTAGGTTGCATTAAGAGGAACACTTCCAGCAGATCCAGAGATGTCATTATTCTCCTTTATTCAGCTCTGGTGAGGCCACATCTGGAGTATTGTGTCCATTTCTGGACCCCTCACTACAAAAAGGATGTGGACACATTGGAGAGGGTCCAGCGGAGGGCAACCAAAATGATCTATGAGGAGAGGCTGAGGGAGTTGGGTCTGTTTAGTCTGCAGAAGCAAAGAGTGAGGAGGGATTTGATAGCAGCCTTCACTAGGAGGGTAGTGAAGCACTGGAATGGGTTACCTAAGGAAGTCTCCATCCCTAGAGGTGTTTAAGTCTCGGCTTGACAAAGCCCTGGCTGGGTTGATTTAGTTGGGCTTGGTCCTGCCTAGAGCAGGGGGCCGGACTTGATGACCTTCTGAGGTCTCTTCCAGTTCTATGGTTCTATGATTCTATGATAGTGCAAGACAAATCAAAGAATTCTTCTGTCAACCTAGCTGCTGCCTCTCGTCAGGGTGGATTACTTATAGCAATGGGAGAAATTTTTTCTGCCAGCATACGAAGTATTAAGTGTATCTGTAGGTAATCACAAAGCATTACTTTATTTTGCACAAACAAATCCACAATCAAATTCTTCAAAATACATAGATAAAAATATTTTAATATCTCTAAAGTTATCAGGCTAACAAAGTGACATCAGAAAGCAACACTATATTACTTAGAATTAGAGATGTGAAAAGGTAGCTGGTTAACCCGGAAGCATAATTCTTAATGAGTGACGCTTACCAGGTAACTTGTACCCTGTAGCAACCCTGTAGCACCCTGTCCCTGCATGGTCCAGCAGCTTGGCCAGCCCTATGTGAGGCCAGGAAGCGAAGCAGCAGCCCCGCCCTAACACCAAGTATTGGAGAGGGCCCTCTCCTCCACCGCAGGAACGTATGTTTAACTGGTTAACCATCACACGTATGGAAATTTATCTAAGATAAAAGTACTTTTAACATTACCATTTGAAATTAAGCTTTTGCCTACTCATGTTGAACTTGTTAAGCCAATGATCCTTGTATGCACACGATAAGGTGCTTTATTACTAGACAGCTCTGTTCTAGTGATTATGGGTTCTGGAAAGACAAAAGAGTAAAACCAAATGAGTTCAAGTCCTGCATTTGCATAAGAGTGTGCTACAGTATTATTCAGAAACACAATACAATCCCTATAGGACCAGCTTTTGATTTTACTGTATCTTTATACTATTCTATAGTGCAGTACCTTCCAATTCCCCTCCCTGCAGGATGCGATTACTTGCACTTTACAGTATGGAAACTGAAGTCACTATGATGCAACTTGGTGAAACACTGAACTGAGCCAAAAGAGTAGACAACTTGGAAAGTCTGGTGTCCCTTATGCTCTCTTTACAAGAAGCTTAGCAGACATTTTCTCCCATTCACAGATGCCAGGAAACTAGAGCACAGCACATTTAAAACATGATTTACTGTATTTTTTTTACTGTATTTTTTGCAAAGCCTTTTAATTTAACTGGGAAAATTTTATCATGAGGAACAGGCAACAGTAAAAGAATGACTGCAAGAAGATGGTGCTTAACTTCATCAACATACAAATTACCCATAAGCCCAGCACAATCCTATGATTCTTTTAAGGCAGTTTTTTCCCCCTCTCCTTTGCTTCCCAGAGGGCAGCATAGACCAGGGTAGATTTAACATCCTCGGGCTCCATCACTCTCATTTTGCCTGGGACTATATTCCATTACATATATCACAAGCTGTATAGTAATTGTGTCAAGAGAATAAAGCTTTTAGTCAAAGGCACGCTATGGTGAAAGCTGCAAATGTGTTTTTAACCTTGGTATAAAAATATTATAGCCTACATTTCATTCAGGGCAATAACGGAGATCTTTACCCCATGACATGAGGTAGTCACCTATTGGCTTAACTGTCTATAATGACAGAGATGAGATTCTTAACATTCACTCAGGCTCAAAATGCTGTCCCAAAGACTAAAAGGCCAGACAACTCTGTTAATCCACCAGTAATTGTAAAACTCTGAAGAGCTTGTAGATTTGAGGCAAAGTGTACAATACAGGTGCCTTCTGCTGACGATTTAGGTGTCACATCCACCATGAGAAGTTATTGAATGCATTTCTAAGAAATTAATGGAGATTGCCTATTTCCTAGAACTGGAAGGGACCTTGAAAGGTCATCGAGTCCAGTCCCCTGCCTTCACAGCAGGACCAAGTACCATCCCTGATGAATTTTTGCCCCAAATCGCCTCCACAAGGATTGAACTCACAACCCTGGGTTTAGCAGGCCAATGCTCAAACCACTGAGCTATCCCTCTGATTTCACAGAAACACCACCACTTCTGATGGTTTGATAACCAGCAATACACCAGGATCCCCATAGGTTGCCACAAGAGTAGTACTGTGGCCAAAGGGACAGCAATCCTCCTATGTCATCTAGATAAAAATCCATTAAGTCGTTATCTGAAATACAGAATAAGAATTCACAGCCCTTCTACCTGGACCCTAAACCTTGAAAGTTTAAGGTAGCAGTAGGAAGAGGAGCTGGAAAGGTGATAGTTGCTCCTATCTCTGTATTACAATACACTGAAGCAGAGAAGCACCAGAGAATCAGTACTCAGCACTCCACAGGGAAGCAACAGCAGTATGCTGAGCAAGAGGTGGCAGAACTATTCTACCCAATACACATCCCCTTTGAGAAATGACTTGACACTGTCACCTACACAAATAAAGGGCTCTTCCCTTTATGAAAAGTAATTAAAAGTACAAAATAAAAGGGCTTATGTTTCCCATGACATCTGACAGGCTAGAGACCCCCATTTTATTAGTATGTTGCTAATAAGATGCTCAACACTTTCTGGGTTAAGCCTTGCAGAGAGATTATGAATAATTGTATTTTTTAAAAGTCACTGAACTGGAGACAAGTAAAAGTTAGAGATGAATCATATGTGCTGCAGTATCGACAGCTTCTATTCAAAGGAAAGCAGCACCTATTTTGCTCAGCACAGCACTGGGAACAGTCACACAGTGAGAGGAGATTTGTTCCCTGTATAATCCAAGCCACATAATTGGAAATTAGGTTTTTAATTAAAAACAGCATTTCTGATCCTCCTGCTGACTAACAGTCTCTTCCTCAGACTGCTAAACTAGTTTCCAAAAAAAGGCACGCAAAAAAAAATCTGGCCAACCTATAAAACTTGGCTTTGATTAGTTTGTACTAGAGATGTTAAATATTGGTTAATTGAATAGTCCATTAACCTCATGAATTCTTATCAGTTAGTCAACTATTCTATAGTCACCGGGCAGCCCCTGTTCGGGGGGTGGGGCGGTCTGAGCTCCTGGAACGAGCCGTAACTGAGCCGGACTGCTTGCCCGCCTGGCTCCTAATACACTTTAAATGCAGAACTACAGTGGGGGTAGGTCCAGGACCCAGTACAAGCCGAGAGTGAGCTGAGCTGCTGGCCAGCCTGCTAAAAAAATTACTGGCAAGGGGGGTGGGAAATGTGTGTGTATTCTATAGCATTAGCCTATAAACTTTTGCTTTTTGGTTAATCTACTACACTATTACATTCCTAGTCTGTAATGGGGATGGTTCATATAACAGGATACTGGAGAGAGAGAGACAAGGAGAAAGAGAACAGGTGACCTACTAAGGAGGCTTTCCCTTTCCCCACAATCATAGTAAATCACTCATCAATAAGACGAGGATAGAAACTAGCTTTCCTCGGTCTGACAGGGCAATTGTTAAATCAGAAGCCTTATTATGAGCGCACTCGAGCTGAAAGTTGTAATGTCCACACTGAGCAGATATGCCCATGCTAGCTCTGACTGACCAAGTATACTAGAGATATGAATGTAACCACAATAGCACAACTAGCAGGAGCACCTGCCCACTCCGAGTATATACCTACTGTTGCAGACAGGATTGTACTCTTAGCTCCAGAGCTGTGAGCAACTGGAGGGCCAATGCCCAAGTATAGTCCCAACTGAAGCCATAGGTACATGCTCAGAGTCATTAACCCCTCCGACTTTTTCCACTGCTATGCCTTCACTTCTATTTTTAGCACACTTGCTCAATCAGAGCAGTGCTTGTATGTCTACGTGAGCTGGAAATTACCCCTCTCAGATCCACTGCAGACATACCTTAAGAGTCCAGTTTCTACATGAGGGAAGTACATACACTTCAACTTGAGCCATAACTCTCCTGTCAGCATTGGCAAAGGTTCTTGCCCCCCCCCCTTTCAAAGACCGAAAGCTCCTGTGCCAGGAAGGCTGTACTACCCAACCAGCAACAGTGTCCCAATGGGACTTCATCCTCACTGTTGGTACCTTCAGGAGGCTCCTCCCGCAGATGAGGGGGCAATTCTTCACCAGTTGTCTCAGCTTCATCTTCCACCATCTGTGTTTCTGAGCTTGGTCCCTATAAGAAAGAACAGCAAGGGGGACTTAAAACAACCACAAGGATTAAGGATTGGAAAACATGCTTCATAGTGAAAGGCTCAAGGGGCTTGATCTACTTAGCTCAACAAAGAGGATGGAGAGAAGTAAAGTTTTACTTCTCCCAACTTACATTAGTGTGAAACTGAGCCAGAGAAGTTGAGAGCGCTGATCACAGTCTAAAAGACAGGTGACCATGTGTCCAGTTTTGGACAGGAATGTCTGATCAAACACTGATCCTGGACGCTCCAGTCAGCATCAATGACCATGCTGCTGCTAGGCCATGCAGTGGGGATGGCAGGCTCCAGTTGTTCCCGCCCTGTGGGGCTGTAGCCACAGCACCTGGTGCTCTGCCTTCCAGTCCTTGCAGCAGGGCTGAGATAGCCTGAGTGCAGAGGAAGCTCTAGCATCCTGCATTACGTGCTGGCTCTGCTCCCTCTCCCGCTGCACCTACTTTTCCCTGGAGGCCTGGACAAGGCTGAGATCCTGGGCACCATGCAGTGTGCACACAGGTAAGCTGGAACAGGTGCAGATGAGGCAGGGAGAGGGGGCACAGAAGGAATACGGATGTGAGGTGCTGGGTGGAGAAGGGAGAGTTTTTGCATGGGGAAGGCTGAAGGGATGCAGACAAAGCAGAGGGGCTGAAGCACTGGAAAATGGAGTGATTGGAGGAGAAAAGGGACAAAGGCACACTGGGTGTTGGGGTTAGTGAGGGTGTTTGCATGTGGGAGAGCAGGAGACAATGGCGGGGTGGGGAAGGGCCATCCCTATCAATACGCAAAATAAGCAGTCACCCGGGGCACCACAAAATGAAGGGGCACCAAATTGCTCCAAATGTCATGGTGCCCTGGGCAGCTGCATTTGAGGTAGTGCTCACCCTGGCAGATAGCCAAAGCGGGAAGCAGCCGGGGAGGGGGCTATGCCCAGAAGGCTGTACATAGGAGTGTACAGGATCCAGGAAAACACCCCATCCCTACTCCACCTCCCCTTCAACTCTTCTCTCAAGCTCCCTCCCCTGAATGATGCTGGCCAGACTATTAGCAGGGAGCCTGGTGCTGTCCCCATACTCACTGGTGGAGGGAAGCAGAGTGACTTGGCCCCAGCCCACTCCCCTCCTCTGGCTCCATGTTGCATCTCTCTATCTGCTATTGTTGAGTGTGTGGGAGGTGATTTTACTACTTCTCACAAGCCCGCTCCCCCAAGTGACGAGACTGGGGCCAAGTTGCTCTGCTTCCCCTCATCACCGGTGAATGCAGCAATAGGTCTATTCCCTGCTGCCTCTCTTCCCTGCTCCAGCCCCCACAGTGCCTGCCACATCAGCCCTTGAGTGCCCCACCCTTCTCCTAGCTACATGATTTAGGCAGCCCCTGGAAAAGTGTTTGGCAAAGTGTCTGTGTGTAGGTAAGTATGTGCATGCATGCATTGTATGTGTGTCTTCGTGCAGGGAGGTGCACGTACATATGTGTGAATAAACTTTGCACACTGACATGCCTTTTGTTGGCTTGTGCATGAAAAAGATGACAAAATATGTGTATTCATTTCATATCAAGTTTTAAAAAGAGAAGGGAAATCCAAAAAATAGTATTATTTCTTAAATAAAGAATGTTGTTGACCATTGATTGCAAGAGAGCCAATTTATCATACATTACTTGCCACCTTTGTCTAGCTATACTATAAATCCATGGTGTCTAACACTAGCCACATGTGGCTCTTTGGCCAGTTGAGTGTGGTTAGCTGGCTCAAAAATTATTTACATTTTCAGAATAATGTGGCTAGTTCGCTACAGCAGAAGATATCGTGGCTATTAATATTAAAAAAAAGACTTAATTGCAGACTTTTTCTTTCTATGTATATGTCCAACACCTACCACTCTGGAGCCCTGATTTGATTTGGGGTCTCTAGGTACTAAACAACTGTAATAATAAATAATGTGGAAGCATATATGTTAATCCATGCTAAAAGTGTACACATGAATATGCATGTCTATCTACATGTAGACGTGGGAGTTGGTTTCTACAGGTATCTAAACAAGGGCATTTCTGAGGTTGTACTTTATGGATTTGTATTTGAGCTTCGGGAGTGGGCCTTTAATGGACTCATTGCAGCTGTGAGAATGTATGGTCCTAATTCCACACAAATTACAATAACTTTAACAAACAAAACATGGAGCTGTTTGTAAAATACTGAGACAAGGGAAGGGAAAGAATTATTAAAACGTTTGTGAAAATTCTTTTTTTTAATTACCTTTTTTGACTATTTTGCCTCCAGCTCTGTTGTCCTATATCAAATAAAACCTGGATTTAGTAGAACACATCTGTCCAAAGGATAAATATGCCCATGGCGCCCACGGGCACCGTGTTGGGGACCACGGGGTTAGTGCATGCCAGAAGTATAAACGTGAATACACACATGTAAGTCAATTTCCACAGATTTAATTATATAGGTATCTGGACATGTGCAGCTCTATAGTTGTGCTCTCCGGATTTCATGGAATACTAGAACAGGAAGGAACCTCAAGAGGTCTTCAAATCCAGCCCCCTGCACTGATGGCAGGACTAAGCATCATCTAGATCATCCCTAACAAGTGTTTGTCTAACCTATTCTTAAATATCTTCAATGATGGAGACTCCACAACTTCCCTAGGCAATTTATTCCAGTGTTTGATTATCTTGACAAGTTTTTCCAGATATCCAAACTAACCCTCCCTTACGTCAGTTTAAGCCCATTGCTTCTTATCCTATCATCAAGCATTAAGGAGAAAAAAAAATCTCTCCTCTTTCTCGTAAACAATCTTTTAGATACCTGAAGGCTGTCATGTTTCCTCTCAGTCTTTTCTTTTCCAAACTAAAGAAAACCAATTATTTCAATCTTTCCTCATAAGTTATGTTTTCTAGACTTGTTGCTCTTCTCTGCACCTTCTCTAATTTGTCCACATATTTCCTGAAATATGGCACCCAGAACGGGATACTTCAGTTGAGTCCTAAGAATTACTTTTCATGTCTTGCTTACAATACTCCTGTTCATCCAACAGTCATGTTTGCTTTTTTGTGCAACAGTGCCACACTGTTGGCTCATATTAAGCTTATGGTCCACTATGACCCCTAGATTCCTTCCTGCAGCACTTCTTCCTAGATAGTCACTTCCCATTCTATAGGTGCGTAAAAGCCAGAATGGAGTACTTTGCATTTGTCCTTATTGAATTTCATCCTAGTTACCGCAGACCATTTTTCTAGTTTGTCTAGATTATATTCAATTAATTATTATATTAAATTTTATTCAAAGCACTTGTAACCCCTCTCAGCTTGGTATCATCTGCAAATTTTATAGCATTGGGCTTCAGTAATAGGCCTTTAATAGTAATAGGCTGTGATAATGTGTAGTCACAATTCCATAAATAAAGTTACAATAACTTTACTAAACAAAAAACATGGAGCTAGTTATTAAAATTAAGAAGAGGGGAAGGAAAGAATCATGAAAACCTTTGCGAAATTTCATTTTTTAAAATGACCCTTTTTGACTGTTTTGCTGCCAGGTCCTATAATAAATAAAACCAGAACTTAGAAGAATACATTTGGGTCTTGCAGTGAAAATGAGCACTTGAGGAGGGGTGGGAGAGAGAAAGCGATGGAGAGAGGAGGGGATTGAGTGAGTGGGGAGGTGGGCAGGGCAGAAGGCAGGACAAGGGTATTCGGTTTTCTGGAATTAGAAAGTTGGCAACCCTATCAAGAAGAATTACATGGGCAGAAGAAATGTAATAAAGAATTCATCAGTCTAGCAGACAAACTTATAAAAAGATCCAATCACTAGAAATTGAATCTAGACCACTTAGACAAGAAATAGCACACAGATTTTTAATTGGGAGGGAGCTATTGGAACAATTTACCAAAAACTGTTGTGGATTCATCATCACTGGAAATTTTTAAAATCAAGAGGGATGTTTTTTCTAAATGATATGATCTAGTTAAAAGGAAAATTATTACAGTTTTATGGTCTTTTACACAGAGAGGTCTCAGACTAAGGCCTACTTAGACAAGAAATAGCACACAGATTTTTAATTGGGAGGGAGCTATTGGAACAATTTACCAAAAACTGTTGTGGATTCATCATCACTGGAAATTTTTAAAATCAAGAGGGATGTTTTTTCTAAATGATATGATCTAGTTAAAAGGAAAATTATTACAGTTTTATGGTCTTTTACACAGAGAGGTCTCAGACTAAGGCCTGAAAGGATTATTGTGATCATCTAGTCCAGTGGTCCCCAACCATTTGGGGTTGCCGGGCGCCAAGGGGGCGTGGCT